TGTGTAGAACACCTGTGTGTCAATATTGTTCAAACCTCTCTCCCACCCTCCTCGCCACTCTACCCCTTCCGTCATTTCGCACGCCGAGCTTGAAAACCACCCTGTTGTGTCAGTCAACACGGGCACACCGTCCGTAAGCGCGCAGCGTAAACCGGTTCGCAACGACTTGGAGCGGCGGAGCGTTGTTGACAATGGCACCTCATTACCGCCTAACGAGCTCGCACACAGCGTTATGAGTCCAGCAGCTGTTACTGAAGACGAAATTATCAAGTGTTTAAAATTGCAACATCTCAGCAGGCGACAACTTACAGAATTGCTAAATCGCTAATTACACACAATACAGACTTGTTCGCTATTAAAGATGGTGACATCGGACCGGGTACACACTTAGCTACCATGGCTGTCGATACACAAGGCCACCCGCCCGTAGCACAAAAAGCTTATTGAACACCTTTGTTACAACGCCAAGCATTGCAAACACATATAGACAGACTTACGAGCTGGCGTAATTTCAGAGGGCTTGAGCGATGGTCAAGTCCCGTGTTTATAGTTAAGAAAAAACACGATTCACTGGGTCGGATCATTGTGGATTACAGGCAACTTAATCGGGTGACTAATTCCATTGTATACCCTCTCCCGCGAATAGAGGACATACTCGCATCTCTTGGTAACGCTCAGTGTTTTTCCACTTTAGATTTAAAGAGCGGGTATTTTAAAATACCTATGGATCCAATCGACAAGCACAAAACGTGTATAGTTACACATAATTCAAGTTATATCTTTGAAATATTACCATTTGGTTTAAAAAATGCGCCTAGCGTCTTTCAAAAACTATTGAATAGAGTTAACAGGTTTACATGACACATGTGCTATACCATATATCGATGACATCATCATTTATTCTCCATCTTTTTCTCAGCACGGTGTTCGATCGCTTGCGTACTGCACGTTTGAAATTAAATCCTAGTAAGTGTGTTTTTCTTAAAGAAATCGTTCTTTATCTAGGGCACACGATCTCAGCGGCCGGCGTTTCACCCGACCCCAAAAAGATTGCGGCAATAGAAAATTTTTAACCGCCGAAAACAGTTAAGCAAATCCGCTCATTTCTTGGTTTAGCATCAGACTACCGTTGCCATATGCAAAATTTGGCGCGAATCGCCGTGCCATTGGTAAAGTTAACAAAGAAACATGTTTGCTATGTCTGAGACAATAGCGCACAGGCCACTTTTGTTGCGCTCAAGCATGCATTGTCTCATGCTCCAGTCCTTGCCTACCCCAATATTCGAGAGCCGTATACTTTATGTACCGATGCCAGCTCTTACGCAGTTGGGGCTGTCTTATCACAGTATGATTCTAATGTCAATGTGGTATTTATCCAATATATAAGTCACCAGTTGTCACCATCACAGTGTCGTTGGCCTGTTGTTGAATGCGAGACCTACGCCATTATTTACTCGCTCCAGAAATGCCGCCATTATTTAATCGGAGCCTCTGTACGTGTACTAACCGACCATTTACCTCTCTGATATCTATTAACGTCGCCAAATTTGAAAAATGCCCGTCTTATACGCTGGGCAGTAATAATTAGCGAATAAAATCCTACAATTATTTACAGGGCAGGGAAACTCAACGCCAACGCGGATCTTTTGTCTCACGTAACACAGTGCAAGAACGAAGACACTGTGTGCGAGCGATAATCTAACCCCATTTATAACGTTTGTTTTGCTAACAGATTGCTTGGTAACAGTGGGTCCGTTTTTTGATACAAAACTAAATTTAAACAAACTCATGTTTGCCCTCATTTGATGCAATACATATGTGTCATCTGCACGCATTCCGAGTTACTCGCACGTGCGACAAGTGACTTCTGGTATGGTGAAACTGCGCGCATTCGCATTAACTTCCGTTATAAACAACCATGCTACTAAATAACGCTGCAGCATACGCGATCAGTATGTGTAATTTCGATCAGATTTTCAGTAAATTTGACTCTTGTGCTTGGTATGTTTCATCGTGAATATTAAATATGATGCTAGATGTCGAAAGTGACAAAAAATCGATCTACTTTCGCTTTATTTCTTTGCAATTTTCAATGGTTTAATGATGTTTCATTTGATGAAAGTGGAGTACTGTCAATTATTGATAGTTCCGACGGACTTTCTGCTTAGAAATTGCGAAGGTCCGAGCATGAAATCTGCAGGTTCCGGACCTTGGAATTGTCCTATTTTCAGCCTCTGGATATGCTTTATTTATGGAGCTTGATGTTGATACTGATGATGTTGATGTTGATGATGATGTTGATGTTGATGTTGATGTTAATACTATCAGGTACTATCTATAGTATGCGATTGGAGTTATAAAATAATCCTGTGTGTTACTGATTCTTTTATATGTAAACCGATGTTGTCCTTAAGTATTTAAATAGGACTCCGGGAAAAGTTGAAATGGGATTCTTCACATGAATTTACACTTTCAAAAGTAAGTGCTCATGATAAGTGTTAATAGTCTATTGAAATTATAAAAGGTCAAAGTCGGTCACTTATTTGAATGGCTTATACATGTACATGCGAACTTGTGAGATTAAGTACACGAGGAGATCAATTTTAAAGTTATAATGTATTATCATAATCAATAATAAGATCTAATAGTGTAGTATATGTGTTATGTAACAGAAAACGCCAGTTAAATATCCCAAAACGAAGCTATATTTGCAAACATTTGATTTTTTTTAAGGTGCTGAGAGCTCATGCGTTGCCACTGACAAATGTGGCATTCAACAAGCATGGCTCTCGATTTATCACAGGAAGTTATGATCGTACATGCAAAGTGTGGGAGACTTCCACAGGAAATGAACTCAAAACACTTACAGGTCATAAAAATGTTGTGTACGCAATTGATTTCAACAATCCATTTGGGTATGTCGAATCCTTCTGTTGTAAGGGTTTTTATATGTGACTTTATATGTTTTACAAATATTAAGGCACACATTTCAGTAGTATAGCTAACCTAATTTGCCTGGAGGGAGGCGGTGTAAAGCCATGTATGTGGTGTGTTTTAGAAAGGTGTAACCATACACCATCAACGCTGTAATGTAACTATATAATTTATATTTAGTCATCACATTTGCTACATTTTAGAGACAAGGTTGCAACTGGCTCTTTTGACAAAACCTGTAAAGTTTGGAATCCAGAAACAGGAGAATGCTATTATACATTAAAAGGACATACAGCAGAAATAGTAAGTGATCGTACTGAATTGGTTTACAAAATGCGGTTTTGACCGATCTGTCTGACTGAGATAACCACAGCCCTGAGAGAATAGTGACTCAAGCTATTGTATTGTTTCTGGGTTTGTCTCGCCATCACCACACACTGGCGTCACTGTATGAGGTCAATGATTTAAAGCATTTTTACTTAACAAGTTTACCCATCGCGATGCCCATTGCTAACCAGGGGCCCGTTGTCAGAAACAAAATTAGGCTTAAGATTAGTCTTAAAAATAACTCTTGACTCGTAAACTGTTGACAGAAACATCGTAAATTTACGAGAATGAAAAATCCTCGCAAATATCCTCCTGACATTACGAGAGCCCAGACCCTCTCGTAACTCTAAGTTCGACATCAAAAAGACAAAATGGCGATGGTAATTAGACACAGACGAGCACAACAAATGTAATTTACACGAGAGAACCAACCTTATTCAGGAAAGACACACAATCCTACATGGATGATTTAACTGAGGCAACGTGTCGCGAGCAATTTTGTGTTACGCGGAACACAGTGTTCCGGACAACAGAAATGTTCTCGGAAAGATTAGAGCGAGCGACAAGGCGACACTGCATTGGCCCCGATTTTGCAGGTGAGTTTTGTTCATTTTTATATCATTTAACATTTGAATTGCTCCAAGAATGTTGAGGGCTTATCTCAGTTTTGTACAGGGATTTCGCATGCACTTTTGCAGTTACGTACCACAGAATATCATAACTTTCTTTTGACTTCAATAATTCTGAAGGAAGTCCTACAAACACGATGTTAAAAAATTGCAACTAAAAGTTTACTTGTGTAATACCGCGGAAAGACATACCACGGCTAGCTGTGTAAAGTTATAACTCTGGACTAGACAGTGGTAGAATTAGCCAATTACAGGCAGTAGCGTAGAACGGAGTGACCAGAAACAATAGGTAGGTGGGTCTACAAATGTGTGTATATAATCACGTGTTTGGCTAGAGACAGGATCGGAGAAAGAGTGAGAAAGAGAGGGTTGAGATATACTACGCATTGGTTAGAGAATAGCACGACACAGCAATAGCCTCTGGTTCCTGTCACACGAACGACCGTTTATTCTTGAGAGTTGTCGATAGTGTTTAAACATCACCGCACCACCGTGTGTTTCACCACCGTCGTCGCAGACATGTATCTGTAAGTCCATTGTTATTCTTATAAATAGCTACGGAGTTCGTTGTCTGCATATTTCTGTATTTTCTCATGCGATTGCTGATGCATATTTTGGCGGAGCGTATGCCGTATACTATACTATTGATTTTGCTACTCCCGCCACTGCCTTTCCTGCCTGTCGGCCTCTCTGTCTAATTTGTCTTTCATTTTTACTCGTTCCCCTCCTTTGTGTAACCATACCATTGTGTTCGTCATGGCAAACCCTCGTCAGCAACTTAAAGATCCACTCCTTACGCCGTCATCCCTTCTATCTGATATTAACATTGTTCGTCTGGTGGAATCTGTTTCCTTCGAGGATGACGAGGTTACCTTTCCAACGAGCAGTATGAAACAATTAATTAAAGAAGTTCAAAGTTTATTGTTGTTGGGAGGTTACCCAACATTTAATGGTCGTGATGATAGCCCGGTCTCTTTTGGAGACTCTTTTGGAGAGTGGCTGAAATCGCTTAACCAATTCTTACTTATATTAGATGAAACAACTGACAAACGTCGTGTTCGACTGGCGCTGCGTTTACTCAGTGATGAGCCGGCTAGTTATGCTGCGGAGATTTTTACCATGTACCCAGCAATTGAATGGGTGCATTTTATACAGATTATGAAACAACGCTATACGGATTCGAGTGAGGTACCCGTAGCATTACAGAAGTTTAAGAAAGGTAAGCAACGCTCGTTTGAGTCGGTACAGGCGTTTGCCAAATGCTTGGAGAACCATGCACGAATTGTGTTTGGTATAATTAATGATACGATACGGTTCACGATATTTGACTAATGGAACAACTTATTGATGGAATTTCGTCCGAATCTCTAAAGGCCCGTCTCCACACACGCGGCACGACACGACACAGCAAAACGCAGCGCCGTTGCGCTGAAAAAAAATACATTGTGATTTCGCGCATTGTGTCTGAGCGCATTGTGTTCACTCTGGTTCAGTGATCAGAAATTATGCATGTGCTTGTTGTCCATTGGCTGAGCAGAACACGTGATAAAAAACAATCGCGTTGATTGGTTCAATTGTCTTTTCGCCGTCACGTCAGCCGGCACAAGTCAAACTCATTTGACTTTCGCCGTCGCCGTGAAACCCGGCTGGCGCCGTGCCGTGTCAGTGGAGACTGCGCCATAAGATATAATAGATTTGAACTTTGCCGGTAGGGGTGAACGACGCCGTTTCCGTGGCGTTCCGTGCCGCGCCGCGTGTGTGGAGACAGGCCTTAAAGCGTACGTTAGTTTGGCAGAAACCGTCATCTTTATTAAAGCTGTGAAACTGGCAAATGCTGAAAGTGCGCTTGATTTGGAGGTAAGAATTTGCTCACAAAAGCCTGAAGTTACCGAGGTTTCACAAATTACGGCGACTAATGCACAGACTATCCAACAACAGATAGCGGATTTGAGACAAATCTTAGCTGATTTATCGCAAACACGCAGGGCTGACGCTGCAGCTGACAATGTAGACACGCGGACTGCTAATAGCGGGCGCGCAGAGCAATTTACGCCTCTACCACCACGCTACAATACACGTATGTCTAACCCACGACAATTTGACCCTTCTCATTTGTCTTATCAATCACCTCCGCCACCATCTTATCCCTACTGCTCCGCTTCGCAACATCCTAAATCCTTTCAGTCACGGTCGTTTTAATCACTGCCTGCTAACACAACACGCCCGCCACCGTTCACTCCTGTACCAAACACCCGTTATTCATACACGCCAGACAACCGCCCGATCTGTGCTTTATGTAATCAATCCGGACATATGTGGAGAAACTGCCATCTTCAACAATGAGGACCTACCTCGTATATGCCGCGGGTAAATGCAAACGCTACGTTCATGACAAGACGTTGAAAGTAGCTTCGATAGTAGAAAAGTCTCACGATCGAATGCAGAGGCCTGCATCAGCTTTTAATGACAATACCATACCGTGTTGGTATGTCCAATTTATACTCTGTCAAATTTAGGGATGTTTCTGTAAACGCTTTACTGGATACAGGATCGCCTGTTTTCCTAATTAATAACGAGTTGTGGGATGAATTAAAAGAGCGTTATCAAAATGATTTTTTACGGGATAGTACGCAAATGATAAATTAAGCAAGCGGTCACCATTTGTTTGTGTTGGGTCGCGTAAATTTACCAGTGCAAATAGCTAATCATACTGTTTCTCAGGTATTCTATACTGTGCAAAATTTCACACACACGGCATTGCTTGGATTTAATTTTATGACGCGACATCGCATTAATTTAAATTGTGCACGGAATTTGCGAACGATTAATAATACCACTGTGCGTATGTTAATATATGCAACTGCTTCCTGTGCGCGTTTTACGCTGTGGTATTCCATTGTGCCCCCAAAAGCAACTCGTAGTGTCCGCTGTGTTCCATTATTGTCTACGCCTTCTCATACTCAGCCAACTGGTCCCCACCCAAACCATCTGCGTACTGTTATTCCTTTGTATAATCCGCAATCCTGCCCGCTACACGTAATCAGAGGAACAACCCTGCAGCTGCATACATCTTCACTTGTTACACCTACTCCCCCTCCTGTGTTGTCAATGCCACTCAGTACAAGTGTTTCCCACACACCCACTCACGCTCATAGGGTCTATGTCCCCCAGGGTACTGCCGGAACGTACCCTGGGTACGGTCCGGCTATACCGGAAACGTACCCTTGGTCACTATTTGATATGGTTAGGGTTAGGGTTAGGGTTAGGTAGGGAGTAGGGCTAGCGACCTCGCTAGACTCGGTTAGTGGAGTCAGGCGAGGTAACGGTCCGGCTATCACTATAATATGAGTACCAGCAGGTACGTTCCGGTAGACCGGACCCGTACCAAGGTTACGCTGCGGCGTACCCGGCGGACATAGACCCTTCAGCCCATCACCCGACCACACCAAATTGGATACGCACGCCGTAAAGTGTTTCACTCACTGCCAAAATTGCCGCCACCCCGTCTTTTCAACCGCTGGACTCATGCACTGCTTCAAGCCACGTTCATAATCCCCTCCCACACCTCCGCGGGCCGCACACATGATTCCCACGCCCTATGCAAGCTGCTAATTGTCCATTGAGCTTTTCCATCCTCATTTTGCACTACTGGTTTCCCGAAGTTTTTAGAAAAGAAAAAAAACCAGTATCTGCTCATATTGAACCTTATGTATGTTTCACGCCGTCATGTCTCAGCACCTTCGCCGCGCACGTTATTATCATCTCAGTATACATTTACCTAATTGATACCACAGCTGTGCTCTTGTGCGGCTGGCTACTGAAGGGCTCCTCGCGCGCCGTGTTAGAACAGCTGATTGTGTGCATAGGTTGTTCAATCACTCTCGTCCACCCTCCTCGCCACTCTAACCCCTCGTTATTTCGCAGCGCGAGCCTGGGGAAACCGACCGTGTTTGGTCAGTTCAACACGGCCACACCGTCGTAAGCGCCGGCACAGCGTAAAACGGTTGCAACGACTCCTGTGAGCGGCGGCCCTCACCTCGACTCTTATCGCGAGCGTGTTGTTGGATCAGACTGGCGCTACCTATTACCGCCTAACGGAGCTTCGCACACAGCGTTTATGAAGTCCAGCCAAGGGCGTGTTACTTGCGAAGACGAAACTTATCAAATGGTGAACAATTGCACATCTCAGCAGGCCGACAATGATCATTTGGAGATGTGGCTAAACTCGTTTTTTTTTTTTAGGTCAGGAGCCTACATAATACAGCTGGTTGCTATTAGAAAGCATGGTGACATCGTGACGGGTTATACACAATTAGCTTCCAATGTGCTGTCGGATACACAGGCCAC